ATTCAGCCAAAAGAAAACGTGAAATTTGTTATCAACGCTGGCCATTTTGTATGTGCAGGTGTGGAGATGTCTGTCTCTGAAAGCACAGATGACTTATCAGCGAAGGCAACTCTCATCGTCTGTCCTCTCTCTGTGCTCAGCAACTGGCTGGTAAGAACACACGACTTTCTATTTTCTTTTTTCTTTAGACTTTTTTCCACGTGCCATTGATTTGGATGTTGTGCGTTTTGTACCATGTTTTATTTCTCTGTGCAGGACCAGTTCGAGCAGCACCTCCGGTCCAATGTGAAGCTCAACATCTATCTGTACTACGGTTCTGAGCGCAACAGGAGCAAGACCTTTCTGTCCTCTCAGGATGTGGTGATCACCACCTACAACGTCCTCTCGACCGACTTTGGGGTGAGTTGAACCACAAAATCCACAAAGAAAGGAAGAAGATGCTTATTAAAGAACCTTAAGTCTCAGAACTACGGTTAAAGTGTAGGTTTTGATTGGTTAATAGTGAACATTATATGTTTTCTTTTCAGAATAAGAGTCCTTTACATGGGATCAATTGGCTGAGGGTGGTTCTGGATGAAGGGCACATCATCAGAAACCCAAACGCACAGATGAGCAAAGCCGTGCTCGAGCTGAAAGCTCAGAGACGTTGGATTCTTTCAGGTACAGTGACATCCAGATCTAGTTTGAAATAAGAAAGAAATGCCCAATATTTTTGCTATGATTGCAGGTTTTGTAACAGAAAATGTTCAGTTTTTTTTTTTTTTTTTTTCAGGCACTCCCATCCAGAACAGCGTGAAGGACTTGTGGATGCTGCTTGCCTTCTTGCGTCTGAAGCCCTTCGATGTGAGGGAGTGGTGGAACCGGGTCATCCAGAGGCCCGTCATACAAGGGGACAGAGCCGGCCTGCAGTGAGTGCCCACGTCAAAGCGCACCGACGCACTTCTGCAAGAAATCCACTAGAGGGAGCAGTTTAATCAGACAGATTCAGTGCGAGTGGAAATTTTTTTTGTATCTTTTTCAGTTGTGACGCAGCAGTTTGCCGATTCTTGTCACGCAGGGTTCCTTAAAAAGGAGGTTTGGTTTTAAAGTTTTTGGGTGTGGACTTGCGTGGAAAATGACACAAGCTTTCCATACCAAGTTTGCCATATAGTATGGAAAAACATTTGTATCTCACTGTCTGCATGATAAAAACCAGAATTTTGCAACAATTTAATTTTTTAAAGATACTAATAGAAGTGATATTTATCTCCACCAATCAGTCGGTCTGTTTGTCCTTTCATCTGTCCATCCTTTGCTATTTAAATCTCACAGTCACAAATAGAATGACTGTGAAATTTGTCAATGGAAAATTTGTAGAAACCTTGACTGTCATTTATTTCTCCTAAAATGATCCTTGTTCTAAACTTTGACTAAGTATTTCTCATTGTACCATCTCTACTCAGGGATGTGAAGGTGTTGGTTATGTGTTGCAGGAACCTCCAGAACCTGGTGAAGTGCATCACCCTGAGGCGAACCAAGAGCAGCGAGGTAAACGGACGCCGCCTGGTGTCGCTGCCCAAGAAGACGGTTTACGTGGAGCAGGTGGAGCTCAGCCCGCAGGAGAGGGAGGAGTACGAGCTGGCGCGCAACGAGGGAAAACGCACCATCGGCAGGTCATAACTCGGCTGTGGAGTTGCGATTTCAAAATAGCGGGAAAATTAGCAGGGAGTAGCTGCTCATATAATATTTAGCTGGGTATTAAAGTTGATTTGTAGTGTTCAATCTACAGCGCCTGTTATGTATTGGCATGTGTGTTTGCATTTTGCAGATATGTAGCCGAAGGGTCCGTGTTGAGGAATTACGCCGACGTTCTCGCCATCTTGATGCGGCTAAGACAGTACTGCTGCCACCCTGATCTGATCGGGAAAATAGACGCAGATTTAGGTAAGCTCTCCGGTCTGTGTCTGTGATGTCACTCAGAGGTCTAAAGGTTTCTGAAAACGCTCGGGTTTGGGAATTTTTTTTTTTTTTCCCACCATGCAGCCACAGCAGACACTCCAGCGGAGCTGCGGCAGTGGCTGATGGAGAAAATGCGGCTGGTGTTGGCCAGCGGATCGGACGAGGAGTGCTCCGTGTGTCTGGACTCCATCCGAATGCCCGTCATCACCCACTGCGCCCACGTGTTCTGCCGGCCGTGCATCGCACAAGTCATCAGCAGTGAGCAGGTCCTCGGCGTCAAGCGATGGGGCAGGAGGGCTGCCACTAGATACCAAATGTTTACTCACATTTTTTTTTTTTCTTTTCATCTCGCTTGGCGGGATTTCATAACAGAAGGCCCGATGTCCTCTCTGTCGAAGCGAAATCAAGACCAGTGAGCTGGTGGAGTTTCCTCCAGAGGAGATAGAAGATGAGAAAAGCGTGAACTCTGACAGGTGGAGGACAAGCTCAAAGGTAAGAGCGACACATCGAGGCTGAAATTTAGCTGAAGGAGAAATTTTGATTCTGCATTCTTGTTTTTGTAATAGTTTTATGTTTTATAGTGGAAGAAATTAATATGGAAACGTTTCTGTAATTATCTTATATGAATTACTTTCATTTTGCTCTTTAAAATATCCAAATTTACACACAACTTTATATTTTTTTATATTAAATGATGAATGTTTTGGTCAATTGAGTCGCTCTCTTACCAAATGCTGTTTTACTCGACGGCTGCTTTTTACTTTTACTTAAAAAATATATTGAAGTAGTGCTGCTCTTGCGTCAGTAAACTTTTTGTCTGCTTCAGATAAGCAGATATAGACAGTTTCTGAAAAGTCTATGTGTTTCCTCCTTCATGTTTGCAGGTTCAGGCGCTGATGGGAAACCTGCTCCGGCTGCGGTCCGAGGACGACAACGTCAAGTGTCTGGTCGTTTCTCAGTTCACGCGCTTCCTCACCGTCCTTCAGACGCCGCTCAGGTAAAAGCAGAACGCACGTCACTCAGTTCATCACCAAAGCAGGCTGTTCATTCGTTCTTCCTCTTTGCCAGGGAACACGGTTTTAGCTTTGTGCGTCTGGACGGCACGATGAGCCAGAAGAAGAGAACTCAGATCATCCAGGAGTTTCAGAGCTCTGCGGCGGACAGCCCCAAAATCTTGCTTCTGTCGCTGAAGGCCGGAGGGGTGGGACTGAACCTGACCGCAGCGTCTCGTGTTTTCCTCATGGATCCAGTGAGAGCACACCTCTGCAGCAGGCACATGGATTCAGACCTAGAAACGCCTCGTGCATTTTGATTTCAGTAAATCATTCTGAGAAAAGAGACGAAGAAAGAGTTACAAAGGGCTGTAAGACACAACTACTGGTCATAGGACTGCAATGTGACTTGTTTATCTAATAAATAAATGAAGTGAGGGTGATTTCTATCAGCATGGCTGGAGATTACCAAGTTGAGTAAACTAAAAGGGAATCATGCAGATCCAAACAGAGGAATCAAATCATACAAGGATTTTCTCTTTCTTTTAATCTGCTGTTTTTGTCTCTTTCAGGCTTGGAACCCGGCGGCTGAAGAGCAGTGTATTGATCGCTGCCACCGTTTAGGCCAGGAGAGAAATGTTGTCGTCACCAAGGTCAGCACTCCGTCAGTGAATGGATGTTTGCGCAGCAGCATCACTGTGTTTTTCACTGAAATCCCATTAAGTTGCTGCCTCAACGGCTTTTCCTTCGTTTCATTCTCGCTGCGTGTGAATAGTTTATTTAGCTAATCAGGGCGTCTGTTCCTGCAGTTCATTGTGAAGGATTCGGTGGAGGAGAACATGGTGAAGATCCAGAAGAAGAAGCAGGACATGGTGGAGAAGGCTTTTGGCTCAACCAATACCGACAGGAAAACGTCTCGGATCGATGACATCAGAGCTCTGTTGGAGGTGTAGACGTCCGGCGGCCAATGGAGGGCGCCGATACTCTTTTCTTCTGCTTTACGTGTTTACATTTAACGTGTCCAGATAAAGAGCATTTCATCTGGATGTGTGATTTGCATAAAACTGCAGTAAAAACAAAAGAGCTTAAGTGCATACCTTGTTTTGCAAAAAGAGATAAAAATGCATTTCTACGGTATGAGGTTTTTGCTCGAGTTGCTTGAAAAAATTTCACCAGTTGTCGCAATATTTGGACGTAATCCACTTTTGTAATACAACATTCAATTTCTTGCCGCATAACTTTCAGAAAATAAAAATGGAAGAAAAAAGTATTTGTACTGGTAGTCCTTCCAATAACATTTTTGATTGTCAACATTTAGCTGCACCCTTCCAAGAGAAACTTGATTTTGCAGAAAGCTACTACTTGAAGAGGAAAATGCTGCGGAGTAAAACCTCTCCAAGTAAAAGTAATTCGAACTGAAACCAGATAAGCAGAATATCTGTAGGTGGAAGCTACATTCCACAGAACTGAAGGTTTCAACTTAAGCTCACATTTAATTAGCCATTTTTAGAACTAGAAGGATTCATGATCTAACTTTTACTTCTGATACAATACAGATATTGCAGGTTTGAGTATCAGCCAATAAAATATCAGCATAAATTATTTTTTCTCCTTCCTAAATTAAAAACCTAGGGTCTTTTTTTTTTTTTTTTGCAAAAACAACTTTTTTAGCAAAAATAAAAACATTTAATTGGGTCATTATTTTATGACAGTGATAATGTTACAAGTTATGTGGAATGTTAGAAAAGTCTTGAACAAGCAGATAATAGTCAACAACAACTGACCATTCATTATAAATCAGTGGATATGGGTTCGGGTCACAAGCACTGCTGGATAGAAACGGCGGGTTTCAGATTTTACATGCTGGCCGAAAAGATTCTCCTGTCTTTGGATGATATCGGACCAATTTCCGATATCAATATCAAAATATGACACCCAATTTACAATTAATAGCCATCTTATTAACAAAGGTTATGTGAATATTAAGACCATATGTAAAGCAAGCTCTTAAATTTCTTGAGCACAAAGACCCCTAAGAGGGAAATCTCAATAAAAACAAGAATGGCAGCATATTTTTTTCCACAGGTTTATTTATTTTTAAAGGTGAACAGTTAACAGCTGCATCAAAAGATGTCACAGCAACAATTATCCACTTCCACACACCTCTGAGTGGACTTACTATCTATCGCCTCTAACACGTTTCCCTTTGGGAGTGTGTGCAATGGACGGAGGAGTGAATCATCAGGTTACACTTTGACCAGCAGGCAGGTAGAAGTAAAGTGGCTGTGGGCAGCAAAGGGGAAACGGGAGGAGGGATTCACAGAAATGTGTCACTAGCAGCAGTTACAGTCAGAGAGGTTTTGTAAATGGTGGGCAGGCAATAAGGCAGCTGGTTACACTACAGATAGGAAGTGATGAAACGCCGGGAACGGCCACGAACACCGGACATGCGGAGCACGAGAGGAGCGCACAGAAACATACATATAAACCTTTACATCACCTGGGTGGAAGCACTTTTTAAAATCACAGACTCGCTCATCAGCTCTGTGCCATGCAAATACAAACCAACACTACACCAGATGATGCACAGCTGAAGTTACAGGGAGCCGGCGAGCGTCAGAGGCACAGACAGAGACGCTGCTGCTCTACGCACTCCTGAGGTGAACACTGTTGTGTTAAAGTCATGGCTACGGGAAGAAGGGAACGAGCCTGTTGCATATGTGCTTTGTAGTCTAGAGACTTATTGCAAGTATAGTAAGGAGCTGTGGAGGTGAATGTATTTTTATTGAGCAAAATGCTCAATTGTGCACTCTTGTGGCAGAGATTTGTGAATAATTCTCATAAAAGGTGGTGGAGGAGGAACGGTGCATCCAAGAAAACGGCTGCACAAAGCGGAGAACCCAACAAATTAGACCAACAAAAGGAGCAAAACAAAATAATCCAACAGAGGTATTGAAATTAGAAACCTACGCTAACCGCCGAACGGGACAAACATTTTTTGGCAATGAATAGATTTGCATGAAGATTTTACACACTTCAGGTGCAGCAGATGTTCCTTTCCGAGATGTTTGTTTACCTGCTCTTTGGTGCCTTTGGGTCGAGCCCGAAAGGCCGTTTTCCTGAACCTCAGCACAACCCAACAATTGGCAAAAGAGAATTGGGGAAAAAAATAAATGCAGTCAATTTCACAATATTTGAGGGGTGTATTTAGCCTCTTGTTTTACCCGTGATGCACATTTAAATTATTCTAACATTCACAGTGCTTAGATTTAACATACAATTAATCGTTTCTAGTCTTCATTCTACGCTGGATGCTGGCAACTGCATCACTCTCTAAATATCTAAATTTTAGTAAGATTATTCTCCCCAAATCATGTCAAACTGTTTAAAGGGTACGGGGGGAAACAAGTAAGTTTTATATTGGAGTGCATGGAAGATCTGCCAAACAAACCCTGCCAAGACAGAAGAATGAAAGCCACCACCCCCCATGTTTGGCTGAGCGGCGCTGCATCCCTCCCATCCCCCTCTTCATCCCAGAGCTCGGACCGGTGTCCGTCACACTCCGTCAGGCGCGCGCTACTTGAGGAAGGAGTTGAGTTTTTGTTCGATGTTTGTGAAGGAATCGTCGCCCAAGTAGTCGATCTGGCCCGCTTCCCAGCGCTGCTTCCTCTCCTCTGACGAAAGCCTCTGGGAGGGAGGTGGGGGAAACCTGGGCTGCTCTCTCGCGTCTTCGTGAAGTTCGCCCTGAAATGCAGACACAGCGAGAGCGAGTTGTTTAAAGAGAAACCTGACCAATGCTTTAAAAGGAGTGTTTTTCTCTGCTGCTTTGCTTTCCCTCAGCACAGCTTCCCCCCTCCTGCTTCTGGCTGCTCCTCAGATTATGAGAGCATGAAGATATTTGAGCCTAAATGTCAAAATATAGAAAATAAATTATCCAAGCAAGTAAAGCACTCAAGACTTTTCACTCAAATTGTCCCATCTTTCCAAGTTAAATACAATGAACATGTTCCTTATGAAGCTTATTCTAATAAAACATCATGTAAAAAAGATTGAATTAAAAAAAAGTTTGTGAGAAAGAAAATGACTTTGATCTGATATACTGTGATCAGTTCATAAAACCTCTAACAGCTCATCTAATTACAGTTTTCCAAATTTTTCATAACACCAAAGTCATTGATCTCCAGTAAATTAGTGAACGCTCATCACAGTTTCTTCAAATAACCTGCTTGGTCCTATTAGGGACGGGAACTAAAATATATGTTCAGATGCATCAGTATGATATTTGAAATATCATACAAATATTATATGATATTTGTATCATATGATACCATATCAATTACACTGATATTTGTAATAGAATTACAAATATAGTGTCTCCACGCCCACCATTTGCTGTGGAAAAAACCCCCCAACATCAGGATCACCAAAATGAAGTGGCACCAGCGCTTCCTTACAACTTTGAAAAAGGTCAAGAGATCTGCAAAGTTCATCGCCACTTTCACTGCACAGGATCTGTGACTGTATTCATCAACAGCTTGGCAAAATGTGAAGTTTGTCCCCAAAACTAGGCGTCATGTTGTGTCATCGGTAGTGTGTATTTTCTGGTGTGTGGCAACTGGTTGCAAGAGCAGCGACTGAGTCACATAGGTGCAAATATGACTGACCTGTTATACCTGCCATTCCTCTAGCTGAGGAATGGCAGGTCAAGAAGACAGATCTAGCTTTAGCTACAGAAGTGAGGGGTTGCTGTGCACCATGTGGGGTCAATAATCCATCTATATTAAAATCTTAGCCTTTTGAATTGTAAACAAACTGACATGATTCCCATCAAGAACCAGAGGACAAAATGGGTCACCATGTGTAAATAAAAATCTGTCTTGTTGGTGCGTCAAGAAGTCAGCTGGTGGTCTGATTCAGCCAGTTTGCAGCTCGACTGGTCAACAACAAAGTTACAGTATTTTTCCCTTTCAATGGTTGGCTCATATTCACAAACAAACACCACCCCTCTTCGGTGGGGAAGTTCTTGCAGAATGAGGACTTAAATACATGCATGATACTCAAGTGGCAAACTTTATAAATTAATAAATAAACATTTTTAAAAATGTCAACAAAAATCTTGTTTTCTAAAGGAGGCGTGTTAAGTGTTAAAAATCAGGAAGATGAGCTTCTTCTTGAAAATACTTGCTTTAAGTACTATAAAAGAAGATTTAAAAAAATGAATTCTTCCCTGAGAAAGTGCAGAGTCACTTTGTTCTTCTGGTCGCCTGTATAAACTTGTCAGTCTGACACAATCGGGCCCGGCTCCAGACGAACAGAAAAAGCTCTGGGTTTTGGCAGTCCCCCTTCAAGTGACTGGCAACTATTTCACTACAGGGCCGTTGCCACACACCGCCTGGAAACTTCCATCCTCCGCTACAGAGCAACATCAGCAGCCACAAACTTGACTTTAGGCAACAGACAATGCTGAGGAATGTGGGCTTAATTATTCTGCTCATGCCTTTTTTTTTTCTTAATTCAACTGCAATATTTACTGCTGCACTTTAATAAAAATGCAGCCTTAAAGGAAGCATGAGAAAAAAAACGACAGCCAATTTTTGAGGGTTTCGACATGAGACAATTTTGTAACATGCTACAACAAATTTGATACATGACACATTTATAGGCATCTTTCTCACTGCGTCATCCAAGCATACACACACACACACACACACACACACACACACACACACACACACACACACACACACACACACACACACACACCGCGGCCCTGCCCGACACCGTTCTGTTTCTCATTCACGCCGGCACGTACAGGACTGCTCTGGTTCACGAAGCCGCTGCTGAACGGGGCGTCGCCGTACGCCTTCTGCAGCAACGGCAGGACGGAGGCGGCGTACAGCTGCCACCACTGGAGCAGGTAGTTTGGGTGCATCTGGCACGGGTCGGGGGAGACGGAGTGACCTCTGACCTCGCCTCTCTGGGCGTCGTAGGAGTAGTTCCACGGCTTCACTTTGCCCAGAAAGTGCACCACCTTCGCGTTGTGGCCGTACCTGTTTGTGATCACAAAGGAAAAGACGACGTGTCAGTCGTTGGCAAACATTACGCTGTGATGCAGTTTGCCAAGTTGCAACCCAAATTTCAAATGGGCACAAAAATGCATTTGTTTCTTTTGTCATATTTCATCTTCTGCAGATCCCCTAAGGTGAGCAGGTTAAGAATGCCGTGGTACTTTTACCATTTATGAACATCCAGTTATCAGCAAACTCCAGCACAGTTCAGTCACGTTTGAGTTGTCATGGTCGCAGTTATTTTTTAGTGGAGGTTGCCATATTCTTCGCTCTGCATGCATCCAATTTCCCTCAACCTGGAGATAACTTGCAAGGTTTAGCAGCAGTTGATCATTTCTGATCAGAGCCGAAACAAAACAACCAAACTGTTGCAAGGTCAAGTGGAAAAGACGTGAATCCCTTTATGTCCAGTTTACATAGCTCTGTGTAAAATGTAGTTGCTGTAAAGCAAACAGTTTTACTGATAATTTTACCGCCTGCCTCTAATCTCTTAAAGTATTTATTTGGTGTTTAGATGGAGCAAAGGTCAGCCGTTAAAGCTGCTGGGGCAGAAATATTATTCATGATGCAGAAGAGTGGATTTGGCTCAAAAGGTCCACATTTGGTACCATATAAGATGGTATTCACTTCAACACACACAATAAAGGATTCTCATGGCCAAGCTGCAGAAAAGGGGCGTCCTTTGTTTGGAGATCCACATAACCACATGTAATTAAAACCCAAACCACCGACACACATTTATGCATAGAGAGCTGAACTGAACTGACCTTGGCCAGGCTTAAAATCTCCAAACAAGAAGCGCAGTTTCACAGTAAGATCTCCAAAAAGAGCTAATTATATAAAAGTAAAAACTGAAGCCAAGCTGCTCTTGATTATTTTTCCTTCTCATGTTGTTGAGGTAAATACTTTTACTCTACTTCAAAACATATATTTCTTTGCCCCTATCACTTGGTTTCTTCACATTACAACCACAAACTTTAAGGCATTTTATTGAATGTTTATTGCCTCAAGTCCAACACATTCAAGTTTTATAGTGTTCTTCTGCTAATGACCGCGTTACGCAATCCGGGCGCGTTAACGACACATCTTAATTTTGCAGTACGCAGGTGTCTTTATTTCTGTTTTTTTTTAACAAGTGCAGTTGAGAAACCAAAGCAGAAATTCATTGTAAGGTGGAAGCAATAGAACAAAGTGAAAACAATGGTTTTCCTGCCCGTCGCGCTTTCATAAAGCCTACATTTGCAACCAACAGTTGTCCTGTCGGTCGATTCTCCGTGAATTCTTCACGGTTCCTGCAGGTCGAGGGGGTAAGTGAGACACCATGTCTCAGCGCATGTCACTGAAACGTGTCAAAGTGAGTACTGACTGTTTGAAAGCCGGCAGGTAGGAGTAGATGGCGATGCTGCTGAGGTTGTAGATAAACGGGAGGTGTTTGGAAATGTCTGCCGTCGCCCAGCTGTTAAAGTAGCTGTTGAGGACGCCCTGATCTCCACCTGCAGACACACCAAACCCAAGAAGAGGTCCAATTTATACTCCCACGGTCGTGCATAAGAGTGGGAGCACAGAGCATGTTGTACATGAATTATTAGCAGCACAAATACGCATTCTGTACATTCCCATATACTGGCCGTTATGTATAAATAGAAGCAGAAAAGACGTGCTGTCAACACATCCGCCATGCTGTCAGAGGCAACATTCAGCGAACATGTCAAGCGGGAAATGTCTCAGACGTTAAACGCTAATGTTTGCAGTTAAACTATTCGTTTGTACCGTGAGCTCATTTCTTCAGCTTGCAAAGAATATTGCATTATATTTTCATATCTAGAACGTATCTGCAGACGATTTGAAAAAGTATCGTAGCAGTCCTATAAACCTTCTGCACACCCAGTGAGGCAATGTTTGTTTCTTATGTCACTGCAAAATTGCAATGGCAGGTGAACGCTCTTTAGAACAAAGATTTCTCCTTCTTTAAGTTAAGAGTTAAACACCCATCATCCACAAAAAATTTTCCTCAGCGAACAAGAGTATTTGAGTGTCCATATCGGGTGATTTTCTCTAGATTCAACAGCAAGCACAAGGAAGCCCGTCGCCTTACCCTGCACTCCACTGGCACCATTTTACTTTTGGGCAGTTTTGATCCAGTAAGGATTTCCGATTCTGGATGTTTTGCCAGAGTCCATTTTAGGTTAAGGAATGGCAGACAGATCCGAAATAAAAACAGAGTTTGAATATCTGATAGGAGTCTGTGGTCTGAACCTGGGCCAAATAATCACTTTGGTTTAAATAAATGCACTGAAACACGGGTGTTAAACTTTCAATTTGGTACATAATTTGGATGTTGAAACAATATATATCTAAACTGTTTTATGAGAGGAAAAAAAACAAACAAAAAAACACAACATGAGACAAACAAAAAAACACAACATGAGATCTTCATTAATTTACTGACGTTCTGAGTAAAACACAGACTGATTAAATTGAAACTTTTATCTGTTTCCATCCACTGCATTTTGAGCAGTACTACCAAGACGCGTTGGGTTTGTTTTTAAGCTCAAAATATCTACATTAAAAGGAGAATAAGTTATGCTACTGTGACATAACAGCTTGGTTTCTGCTTTCTTCCAAGCGCTCACCGTCAAAGCTGCCTTTTTCAGCGCAGAACTTAAGCAGCTCTTCATGCGTCTCTTTGGACGGCCTGAAGACAAAAACGCCGGAGTTGAAACAGTCGGGCCAACCAGGATCTGGAGCTGCAGACAACTCTTCCCTCTCAAAAAGCTCATCTATGTTGGACAGCACCTGCAAAACAACAAAAACAACAGAACATAATTTACAACAAAAAAAAAAGATCCTCAAATGTGTTTAAAATGACGTATCAAAAACAGTGGAAATCTAAGAATTAAATGCATCTGAATGAATCACTTTAAGCTTTAAACGTATTGTTTTTCTTACCAGCGTGTCGGCATCCATGAACACACATTTGCTGTACTGCACGAGGGTCCAGCAGTGCAGTTTGGTGATCGTTACGCCCAAGTCCGGCCGCTTCATCAGAGCCAGATTAGCTGCGTCGCACGAATCCAGGACGTCCACCATGATCACCTCGTCAAAAACGGAGTGCAGCGCATCCCTGAAGCACAGGCAGAGGGAACCATGCCAATATGTGTAGCGGAGACGGAGAAAAAGCAGAACATATCGCTGTCCGTCACCTGCAAGGCTCTGCAACATGAGGTCCGATGAGTGCCACCAGTTTCCGGGTCGTGCTGTGGTTCCGTAACGACTGGCCAAGAACCATTGCTCCCTTGGCGTAGTTGTCGTTTGTGGCCAACGTCACAAAAGCTTGGTCTGCTTTGAAAAAAGAAAAATAAAACAAAAGAGAGAGATTAGTTCAAGTTCTGCCAACTTGCCCGGAACCCAAATTTTTCAAAGTCTCTCCATCTGGATGCCCAAACGCGTCGTGTTCCCGTCACACTATTGGGCGATTTGCCAGTTGTGTTAACAAGTAACTCAACAGGTGTACCTAACAACGTTTGCAACAACACTGTCATTTTGAATCATCAGAGCAGCGAGTTCAGAACTGCAGTCCTAACCCATTGTGTTCAGTTCACTTAAATCAGCTATTTTAGTGGAACTGAATGGTAAAGTAATGGATTGACCATTAAACATGCATAATTATGAACAAAAATAAATCAAATTTAAACGATAGTTGTTGTTTTGTTTTTTTTCAAAACTACTTATTGTACTTTGCATCAACAGACTTGCAAGTAAATCAGATTATTCCCAGAGAGAATAATCCAATATACATTTTTGACTTTTATCCTCACTTGAAAGACATAAATCAGCTCCTTAACCTTGATGTTATGTTTTTATTCAGTACTTAATGAGTTCACATTTTGTTCCATAAACACCACGGGGGGCAGAGGGCTATTCTGTGTAGCTACTGGAGTTCAAAAGCTGTCCTGAAGCCAGCAGGCAGGGATCGTCAAGATAAATGCTTTGGACTTTTGAGAAACCCGATCTGTGTGGCTGCACGATTGCTAAGGTCCAATCCAAGGAACTATAAATCGACTATCAAAAGGCCAGAGTGTAAGAGCGGGAGCCGCCTCAGAAAGGAGGGGGAAAAAAAGGAAAGACAACAAGCAGGAAGCATGTGCTGAGCTCCCACAGTGTTATCTGTGCCTGCAGTAAACCTCCTGACCTACTAACTGGCTAAAAAGCTCAATACACCCTGAAATTGAACTGGGTTTATAATTCAGTTTGACCAAATAATGGATGCTTTGTCCAAAAAATATTTTTCCACACATAGAATATATTTCATTTTAATAGCTTCAGTGCTGTGCAGCATGTTGACATGCTAGTAGTAAACACATTATGCTCCACAGGATGTTGGAAAAACAAACAGTGAAGCCACACTGTGCTGCACGTCCACACCATGAAGCAATTACATCAAGTTTATTGAAAAATGCCATTAGACAGGAAGTTGCCGGTGCTCTCTTTAGAAATAAAAGCATGCAAATACCCCCTCGAGGTGTTGATGTGGAGCTGAGACATAAACCAGGTTGCATTTTGGAATCAGGACCATCGGACCGAACGACCCACATTCTTGGTTTTCTCGCCACCAGAGACGTTATAACTTGAGAGAAGACATCTTGTCTCCAATTTGTGGTTCACGATTAAAGGATTACACAAACCACGCATGGTGAGATTTGAAGCCAACTCCCCAATGTTGCATGTTGCAGTCAAATTAGTGGCGAGGACCGAGAGAAAGGGATTGTTTCGGCACGTCCAGACGCTTGATTCGATGGCGGTGTGGGACGTTTATGAACCTGGCAAAGCCCTTATTCTCTCAATACGTACAGCGAAACATCAAACTGCAATCGTTTCCATCGTCGACAAGAAGTGGCCTCCAGGTACACAGGCGCCAGCTTGCAGCAGCTGTTGTTGCATGCGTCTGATTGACAGTAAATATGGAGCCACGGGGTCTTTCAGACTGAGTTAAGCTGACTCATGTTTACAAAGTGAAACAATCAGCTTTTGGTGATACGGATAAGCAAAATGTTCTTCCACGTTCAAAGGTTCATTTATATAAGGTGACTTGTGTAGCTTTGAAGAACTTTGATATGAAGCATTTCAAAAAAAAAATAATAAATTGTGGGCTGGTAGAGTTTTTTTGGTATTTGAGCAAAATAAAACATTATAAAAAATACTTTCACAACAACAAAAATTAAAGAACCATATCAATAATACTCCTGCTAAGATAACATGACTACTGCAAATATGCATTTTATTATTATTATTGTAATAAATTGATGCATTTCAAACCAGGGGTGTCCAACTCCGGGCGTCGGTCTACCATTCTTTCAAATACAGCCTTAATTTATATCCCCTTAAATAATCCTGCAATGCAAAAAACAAGCCACATTATGAGGCAATACTTTAGGAGAATTTCAAACTATGCCATAAAACTGTTGCCTTGTGTAAATCAAAGCAGCAAAGGAATTGTTTTAAGGAGAAGATTTGATCTTTTACAGAGAAATAGGCTGATAATTGCCGGTTATTTCATTGTGTTTCAAACAATGACTGTGTGTGTTTTATCGTTTGATTTATTTTCATCCAAACACCCCCCCAAAAATGTTTTTTTTTGTTGGAGCCATCTGATAGGCAGTGCAAAGCAACTTGTGCTGAAAAAGCATTTCTCAGTTACGGAGGAAACACTGGAAAAGTAAAAACTAGTTGTTGATTTTAGTGGGGGTTCACAGTCGATAGTCCAGAGTCTCAAGGATTTGAGTTCTACATTTTACATTATTTTTCATTTCAATTGTTTCCCAAAATAAATAAATAAATAAAAAACTGAAGACTATATGAAGGAACGAGCCGTGTGCAACCAAACACTTCTAACCTAACCCTCCAATCCCGAAACATCGGACATAACAGCAAACTTTGCAGGAATAGTTTCGTGTTTTGAAGTAGAAATACTTTCTACTTTAAGTTTGTGGAGATGCATGCAGATTCTCAGTTGTGCTATGCTTTGGGCCCACAATTTTATTTTGCATCTGGTCATAAAACAGACAGTGTTTTATGACCAGACGTTTCTCTGTGAACAAGGCCTGCACACCTTGAACTGGATCTGTAACTCAGTGCAAATGTAAAATAATATTTTATGCTCCTTAGAAAAAAAATTGATCATTTTACAGCTTGTGTGCGCGCGCGCGCGTGTGTGTGTGTGTGTGTGTGTGTGTGTGTGTGTGTGTGTGTGTGTGTGTGTGTGTGTGTGTGTGTGTTTCTAAATGAGTGTAATAATCAGGTGATAAGAGCATTTCAACAAGCTGTTCATAATGCCAAACTTTCCAAACCGGATGTGCTGCCGCCGAGTGACTCTAACTTGACTTTGGTCCAAATCGTTGCAGCAACTCATCGATTTCAAACATCAAAAAAACAATAATAGATATATATTTTTTAAATGACGGCATTATCAGTCGAGACGGAAACGCTTCTCCACAGACGCGGAGCCGGGCGAGCAGCGGCAGGTGTTGTTTTCCATGACGGTTCGTAAATACGCGATATTTCAGGGGTTAAAAAAAAAAGAGAAGGAAAGCAGTTCGCGCAGCTCCGGTCCGGCCCCGAGAGAGGCTGAGGTCCGGATGCCGAGGGAGCATCCCGAGCCGCGCGTCCCTCGTCTCTTACCCGACATGGCGCGCCGAGGAGAGTCGGCCGGGGGGTCGGTGGTCGGGATGCGGCGGACGGCGGGTTTGCAGTGCGAAGGGCAGAGGAGCAGCAGCTGAGAGCAGTCAAACACAGGAATTAAGCCCCACATTTTCCGGCCCATGTGACCGCTGACATCTGCCACGCCCCCTGCGTTTGTTTCCTTCAGCGTAAGACCGCAAGTCATATTCGTATGTCGGCGTGAAACGAACAACACCTCGCGATTATATCCCTATAATATCACAGGTGGAAAAAAATATAAATATATATTAATTTGAGTAACTCTGTGACTCGGTAAGACGCAGTTTTGATTCATTTTGAAGTAGATTATCACTTTCAGCTATTGATTACCAAATATTCAGTGTCAGACAGTTGATATATTACATGAGGCTCCCCCCCAAAAAAGCGATTGATAATGCATACGTGTTAGATGACCATGTGATTGCTTACAAAACCATCAATAAGGTTGCTTAATGTTTACATCCATTGTACTCAGGCGTATTTGTGGAAAGTTGAGTGGAAGAAAAAACTTTGAGAGGGGGGGGAAGGTAACAAAGCGACATTGACATCAAGACGATTGTGAAGCAAAGCCTATAAAATGTAATAAGCGAGTTGACAGAAGGAGAGTTGATGCTTCAAAAGCTGAAACCACACACACTCACACACACGCACACACGCGTACATACACACACACACTCACACACACGCACACACGCGTACATACACACACACACTCACACACACACGCGTACATACACACACACACTCACACACACACGCAACCAGGATAATTGTTTTCTTGCTGAAATAAACATCTTAAAAACATCTCTTTGTGTAATGACTTTATTTGACCTTTACTACTGTTTTAGTAATGAAAATCAATTTTTTTCCAATTCTGTCCTGATTTGTTGAGCTCATAGACATACAATTTAAATTAGCATTTTTGCATAAAAACACACACACACACACACACACACACACACACACATATATATATATATATATATATATATATATATATATATATATATATATATATATATATATATATATATATATATATATATATATATATATATATATATATATATATAATAGTCTAAACTGGCAGACAAAACAGAGGGATCGGAGGGGATGAGAACCAGGATTACTGAGGAGAGAAGTGATTAGGTGAGTGAATGGCTGCAGGCTCATTGTAAATAGGTGGCAGGTAGTGATATGGACAGAAGCTGAGACACTTACGACACAAAATGAAACAAACACTAAACCTCAATGACGGAGGAGCGTCCAATCTCTTATTGCCCCTCTTTTGAAGCAAAGGTAGTGCTTTTAAGATGCAAGTCATTGTTTTCAATTGATTTCAAATATCACAATCTGTTCTACATATAACAGTCCTGCATTTCAGGACTTATTCCAGGTTTGATTTTTGCTTTAAGTGCCTTGGATAATTTCTTTCACACACACAAAGAAAGTTTCCACTTCTTCAGCAATAAGCGGATCATTGGTTCGTGTCTCAGCAGCGCCTCTAAGTGTTTGCGTGTCCACATTGCAGCTGGACGAGGCCTCGGTCGCTCAAACGCAACCTGTTTAGTCTTTTTCATTCATGTTTAATTAACTGAAAGGGGATGTTTGAATATTTTTGTTTTCACATGAGTCGTGATGAAATACTTTATGAATAACTATTCAGTCTACAATCTGTTATTTGAAATGCATGAAAGTCCTGAGTACTTATACTTATCTAGCCACCTGGAACAGCAGTATCTAGTTTGCATGCTTTAGATCAATATGATTAGATTATTTTTGTTCTTTTTTCCTTTTGTCTGATTTTTATTTTTTATTTTTTTGTATTTCCTCTTAATTCATGTAAATCACTATGAATTGCCTTGTTGCTAAAAATGTGCCGTACAAATAGAATGACCTCACCTCAGTGAACCTGGAGTGTTGCAACACTGTGTCCTGCAAAGAATTAATTTAACACAGAGATGTTAAACCAATCTTTGGGAACTGGTATTTGGATGATACTAGTCTTTGAGAATTGGAGTTTGACACTCTTGATGTAAGAAATTGTGTTTATTTGGGGAGGCAGCGGGCGTTTGTGCACACAAAGTTAAGTAAAGGTATTTGGACGATGATCTGGTGTGAAGAAGGTGTGGCAAAAAAAAAAAAAAAAGCTAACTTCCCTTCAAAAATATCAAGAAAAGGCTAAAATATTGCTGGATGCATCCGGGTTGGATTTAAGGAAAGTTATTTTCAGCACTCATCCGAAAATTTTGCTTAAAATGCTGTTTTGAAAGGAATATGAGGTCAAAACATCCTCAAAGACTCTTATCCTGGGTAAATTTGGTGATAATCTATGCTTTTTAACCCATAAACTGGGTGTATTATTGACATTAATATCACTAATTTTGAATAAATTCAACATTTTCCCAATAAAAACCCACATTTGTTTATTGTTGAACTACAGCAGCATGTGCTATGAATGTGACAAATCTAACAACTCTAAAGCAGGAAAGGGTACGGAAATCTACATTTACTGTCAGTTTCTCCATAGCATTTTGCATTTTCCTGCACATGTGGTTTCAGGGTCGGTGAATAATGCAGGAGGCTTATGGGAAGTCTTAGCAGCTAAGAACTGATCTGGGTTCAGGACAACGCACCAGAAGTTCACTTTGCACTTTAACAGACTGAGGGGGATCTTACCCGAGATCACCGATGGGGATGGGACGGTAACCGGAGATCTCTTCGGAGTCGTGGAGTGAAACAAGGCCGATCAGGTGTCGGAGGAAGAAGAAGAGCTGAGGAAGAGGCAGCGTTTGCTCAGTGTGAAGGGTTAAAATGTAGATGTAATTTTAAACCAACGTATTTAATCTGCTGCTCTAAGATAAGATGGAAGATTTTGTTCAGAGTGCAGTTGATTGTGGTTCTGTGTGTTGTTTTCAGCTGTTTGGTTTAAAAACATAAAAACAGAGAACAGGAGGAAACGCTGGTACTGAGGGGAAAGAGTTAATCAACATCTTTAAAAAAAAAAGTCTTTAAAAGGAGGGGCAAGAACAGAGGTGAAAGAAACAAAGGCACCAAAACTGCAAGCTGTTTTCTTCTCTGGACTGGTCTACTGTGGACTCTCTGCCCTTTCACCCTGCCTGAGATTGGATGTAAGCTCCTTATTCTTGCTTCAGCCTTTATGCTCTGAATGTGATGTATGATAATAATGCGACCACATCTACAGAAAACCCACAGGCGTTCTGACCAAAACTGTCAGGTTCAAGTTACAGAAATGGGGCTAAGTCTCCTAAGATTTAGCAAATACGTGACCAAATCATGATTCAGCAAAGTTGTGCGAAGTTTTGCAAAATTTATTTTTGTGAAAAAAGGGCTCTTGATTATTTTTTGACATAAAAAGACCTCAATTGAATGTTTAAGTGTGTACATTTCACTGTTTTGACATAACAGTGTTACATAATTTGTGTCTCACTGTGTACATCTGCAGCAGGAAGTGTGCTCAATGTTTATGGCTAAACCTGCTGTGATCTGAACACAGATTAGAGGAGCAAATGCAAGATTATCATTGGGTTAGCAAAATGTTCCAAAGTAGCTATAAATCCAGTGTGATTCGAGTTAACATATATGAAATCCGTCATTTTATTTATTTTTCATCTGGAACATGTCACATTCATATATAGCTGAAGCTTACTTTATTTGACCTTTATGAAAAGGTGAAAATACCAGCTTCCTGTCGCTTAAGGTGAATATATGCAAACACGTTTAAAAAATCTATTAAAAATTTTGTTTGCATTAACGAAAGAAAACCGTAACCAAACACTCTAACCAATATGTGATAAACATAACCCTTAGTATGTTTGATAGTAATTTCATGGGACAGACCAACACAAAGTAGCACCATCACCTAATTGTGAAGTGGAACAAAAATCACTTTCAAAATCCAAAAGAAAAGAAAAACTACTTTTATGTAAGCAGCTGGCAATAATTATGCTATTTTTGAATTAACTAAAGTAGATTTGATTTTTTTTTTTTTTTTTTTTTGTTTTTTTTTAGGAAAACAAATTATGATTCTTACTTATTTACATCCACTTTCAATTGTCTTCGGAAATTAAAGATTTGTTTTCGTATTGTGATATGTCAGATTACTTCAGATTACTTAAGCCTGGCTGTTGATCCCAAATGATTGATAAAACATATTTGAACACTTTTTGCTCCCCCGTTGCCTGACTCACAGATGAATGTCCTTTTATGGAATAACAGCACGATGACATGGTTAAATGTTAACTGTCCAGCTACGCCCGTCCCAGGTCCAGGCGGACCAAAGGTCCACTGTGAGCCTTCTTCCAGTGACTCCACCTGGAGTGGTAATCAGCTGTCCAGCTTCTCCTCTATCCACCGTCTTTTCTGTGCCAGCGTGAAACTGCAGAGCTCAGAAAGACACGACTCCTGCAGCAAGGCCTTAAAACGAGGTACAAGTCACTTCCTCTTCTTCTTCATCTTCACTTTAGTTTCTTTAAGAAAGTCAGAAAAGGGTGACCTTTAGTTAGTGGTCAGTGCTGACGCTTCAGAAAAGGTGCAAAACCTCTGAGGCATGTCTAAAAAGTTAGTGAATGCTTTATGATTATTTGTCCAATTGAAAACTTTCTGTAATTTTGCGTGCTGCCTTTGCCAGGATTTATTTCCTATATAAAAAGGAAATAATACAAATTTGGAAATTTCTGTGTGTGTGTGTGTGTGTGTGTGTGTGTGTGTGTGTGTGTGTGTGTGTGTGTGTGTGTGTGTGTGTGTGTGTGTGTGTGTGTGTGTGTGTGTGTGTGTGTGTGTTTTAGGTTGAAGAAAACAGCAGCCACCATGGAAAACCGCTTCACACAGATTACCAAAGAGGATCTGGAAGACCTTAAAGAGGCCTTTGATAAAATTGGTCAGTTTCATTCTTTTTTTCTTTTTTTTTTTTGTTCATCACACTTGCATGCACAATCTCAACTTGCAGGTTTATTGCTGGGATTACAGACCGTAGTTAGACTTTTACTGCCTGCTATAAAGCACATAACAGCACAAGTCTTATAAAAGACTTTACTGTCTGAATTGTTGCGTGTTTGTGAATAATGTTTCCATTTCTTATAGTGACATTTTTAAGGTTTTA